GAGTGTTATTTTTTTGTGGGTTTAGTTGAAAAGCAGCTTAGGCTGAACTACGCCTTTCATCATTTTACCTTTAATTTTTTTTATCCTCAAGTTATTTATAATGATGAATAAAGACCATTTATTATTATTATTATTATGAGAGTCACGAATGGGGTGCGAACTTTTCGTTGGACCACCCTGTTATTACTGTATCTACTAATACCCAAACAGAGTTTATGTAGCTTATCAGTCTCGTCACCATTGCAACACTCTGGTATGCGAGGATCTGAATCAATAGCCTAAAAGTTGTTTACAGTTCGTAGCTACTCACCAAGCTGTCCATATCGTCGATCGGTCGCATAGATCGTGCATTAATGAGGGACCAGATTGAGTAGATTAGCCGAACAGTGTACTAGGCTTGTAATTGTCAAGGCAGATTAATGATTTATTATATACGCATTCGAAGAGCGTGTATGTTGTGTATATGAAAATATGAAGAACATATCTTTTATCAAAATATTATTAGTTAGAGTTTATGTGGACGAGGAAATTCTGAGTTCTTGTGATAATAATATCAGCTTACAGATCTTTTTTGGATCACCAGAAACAATGCATTCTTGAACTGAAATATTATATAATAAAAATTGAAATAAAATGACTTTATCAAATATTGACAAGTGAGGCGTTGTTGAGTTCAGAATATCATTCGCGAACGAAATTGGTAAAAATGCATACGTTGTCCCATTTAAAAATCGAAAGTTGGAGTCGTTTCCCGTCAAACCGGAAGTACGTCTAAGAAAACGAATATGTCAAAAAATTCATCTGTAATACGCAACCCCAAATGTCGTTTTTTCTATCTTCAATTTATATATATATATATATATATATATTTTATTAAATAGTTATCATCCGGTATGTTAGGTATATACGAGCCCCTTCCCACTTCAGTTGGCCCAACTATTGAAATCTTAGTTTTTTTCTTATCAAACAAAAATAATAAAAATTTAGCAGGGTGTTATAGGTTTAAAATATTAACAGTGAATATTTTGATAATATATAGTAGAAAATACCAACTTTATCACTCCCTAATCAAATTTGCAGCATAAAAATAACACATGTTGCAATTACAACATATCAACCTATTTTCATTTCAATGCAAAATAAGTCTATAACGCATAGGTGGCTGTGACAAATAAAAGCCATGACGATTGTTTTTATTAATCACAGCTGTCAGAATACGTTTAAAATAGTTTTGGGTAGTTAAGGTTTTCAAAATGGGTAGAGGAAAGGTTATTAGTGAGAAAATTCGGTTATTGATAATTAAATTTTTTAATTCTGGGAAATCAAACTCAGAAATTGCAACTTTGTTAGACTTATCGCGGTACAGTGTGAGAAATATTGTTAGAAGATATAACGTAACTGGTTCAGTTAATATTAAGCCACGATATGTGAAAAAAAGTAATATCACAAATGCCGACCAAAGAGCATTAAGAAGAATAATCGTGAAAAACAGGCGTGCCAATTATTCACAATTAAGTGCTCTGTGGAGTGACGCTGTTGGAAGGAGAATTTCGAGGTCCACAACTCATAGAGAGGCCCACAAACTGGGATTTAGCACTTGCAAGGTAAGTTTTCTTAGAAGAAAAAGTGAAGCAAAAATCCTAAAGTTGCACAACTTGTTTATAGGCCAAAGAAAAGCCACTATTAACTCCACTGCAAAAGAAAAATCGGCTTAGATGGGCTAAAGAATATAGATAATGGACACCTCAGGTGGTGTGCAATACAATGGAGTGATGAGGCCCGATTCGAGGTTTATGTTGGTGACAGTCGCAGTAGAGTTATTCGCAAAACATATGAAGCATTCCTTGTTATTTTATTTTATTTTTATTTTATTTACTTATTTCCAACAGGTGAAACCCAATTACAGGAAATGCTGAAAACAATAACAATTAAGGAGACATGGTTCTTGGACTTAAATCTATAGTATCACATATTCGAAATAAGATTGGATGATCTATAGCAGTTAATAATCGATGCACAACTGTCACTGTAAATATCACACGATTCAGTAACACTATTCATGACGCAGCACATGAGATTAATTGGCGATTTTGTCATAACATTTGTACGGCCAGCTTGACAATAGAATGCCGTTTGTTGTCGACTCCCTAGCCTTGGAACGCGGAAACATATTTTTTCAAGTAAATTTTGATAGTCAATTTTATTGTGAATGAGGCCATACAAAAACGACAAAGCAAATATGTTTCGTCTTGTTGACAGTGAATCCAAATTGAAAAACTCTAATAGGGGACTATGGTCACAACCTCTTTCTGGATAAGAACCTGTGCATTTAAGGTGAAAATACTTTAAAGCTTTACGTTGAATGGCCTCAAGGATCACGACAGAATTTTGGTATATAGGATACTCCAACTTGCTCCTGACAAAAGTAAAAAATAAAGTCATTGATGTATCAACATTGGAGAAATTCTTCCAGTTTCTGATACAGAAACCAAGTAGTCGAGTGGCAGCCGACGAGATATTGAGTATATGCTCAGTAAACGTTAGCTTGGTATCAAAAAATGACTCCCAGGTCTCTATAAGAGGTGCATCTGTCTATAACCTGACCATTGATGTTATAATTATCATAAATTAAATAGTTAACCTTTCTTGTATAAGTCATAACTTTACATTTCGAAACATTCAGACTGAGACAGTTTCTTGCAACATGACGCAATCCTCGACTGTCTTGACTGACGTGCAGATTTTAAGGTAATCAGCGAAAAACAAATGGAAACACTTCAGTTCAAAAGACAAGTCATTAATAAATATCAAAAACAATAATGGACGATGATCTCAAACAACTTGCTGAAATTGCACAGGATTGCTATTTGGCGATAGTTGGAAATATCAGAGATATCTCCACTTTTGTGAATAGGACATATTTTAGAGGTCTTCCAGATATTTGGATATGTCTCTGATTTTAGAATTAGGTTGAATATGGAAGCCAGCGGTTTCGCTAGTATACGAATGCAATCTTTAACGAAAAAACTTGGAATACCATCACATCCAGACGTCATTTTGTTCTTTAATCTTTTCGAAGCCCTAATTACTTTTTCTTCACTTATATTTTTTAAAGAAATGATATCGGTAGAATTATTTGTTAGAGGAGATGACCCTAGTAGACCAGACGGGATAAAAACTGTTGAAAAGAAGGTAGCAAAACTGTCCACTATAACCTGAGGCGTATTGCAGACATTGCCGTTAAGCGTCATCCTTGGGGGGATTCTAGATTGCTGTTTTTTGATCTGGGCAAATGACCAGAATTTGCTAGGATCATTGACAATGGCATCCTCAACCGATATGGACGTAAGCGGAGTAGGCAACACTGATCTGGTTCTTAATGAGCTTCCTAAAATTACTGAACTGATCATAAGAAAACTTAGTACCGTCACGTTTCCAGTTCCTTCTTGCTATGTCCTTCTTCTTGATATTAAGTATAATTTTACGTGTGAACCATGGGGGATACGAAAACATTTTATTTTTACATTTAGGGACATGGATCTCAAAAATGTTATTCATAACTGAATACAAGGCGGTACAAGCGACATCAACATTAACTGCACTGATCACCTCCGTCCAATTAACATCTTGCAAGGCTGTGTACATTTCAGGAAAGTTAGCTTTGCGAAAGTTAAACCGTGGAGAATTAGCAAATGGGAATTTCGTTGGAGATCCGGATGTAATGAATTCCATGATCAGTGCAGGATGATGAACGTCCTCTTTAACAGAAGGTGTATGATCTCTGAGGACTTCTATTTCGATATTTCCTAAAATTAAATCCAGTATTCGACCATTTATATTTGGAATATTATTAAAATTAGTTACATCTAAAAACGAAATAAAGTTGCTCATTAATTGAGACTTCTGATCATTAACGTCACTGTTGAATGATGCGACATTAAAGTCACCAGCAACAATTATTTTGTTGACTGTCTGAAGAGAAAAGTGAAATTTCCAGCATCCATTATGGTCTGGGGCAGTATATCATCAAAAGGAGTAGGAAAACTTCATTTTATTGATGGACATGTGGATACACACAAATATTTGGCAATTTTAGAAGAATCGCTTTTACCAGAAGAATTTTTGACATCCGGCCAAGATTTTGTGTTTCAGCAAGATGGTGCAGCGTGCCATACCTCCAAAAAGGTTATAAAATGGATGGAAGAAAATAATATACCACTTTTGAAATGGGTTTCTAGCAGTCCAGATCTGTCATCTATTGAAACTTTGTGGCACGAGATGAAAAAGGTTCTACGATAACATCCTGCTCGTACAATCACCGAACTGAGACAAAAGCTTCAAGAAATTTGGGATTGTTTTACACCAAATTTTTGCCAAAACTTGGATAACACTATGCCCCAAAGAATTTTAGGCGTAATAAAAAATAAAGGTGATGTTACCCAATGATAATCTTTCAATTGTTGCTTTTATTTGCACATTGTTTATTTGTTCAGATGTTCTATTAGTTATAGGTCTAAGTGATTTCAAATATGTATTTTTTACGACTAGAGTGTATCTAAAATGTTTTTGAAAAATAAATTGTTTTAGAAGTAAATAGTTTCGTCATGTTTAGTTTATCAAGGCATATTTTGGTACAAATCTTGAAGTGGGCCAACTGAAGTGGGAAGTATATAGTTTAAGAAAGCAGCTAGAATTTGTTCTATGTATTTTTTTTTGAAATTGTCTTGGCAATAAAAACCATTTATTATTATTAGCACATTTCAAATGAAATATGTATGTATGCACCTGACACCATTTTTTTTACCTTCGCAGTATTCGAGAAACATTTGATTAGGGCTCGCCCTCATGACTGTTCAGTTATACAAAATTATCCTTTTAGATGAAGGCGATGAGCTATTAAAGCTCCAGCGACGTTAAACTTCAAGCAACAAAATCTAAAAATAGACCAAGTTGTCTGTGCACAACGCGGAAACACCACACGTTGCAAAACCAATACCCACCGGGTAATCCATTATTTTATACGAGTTGTCTTTCTGGTTATTTCTAATGGGTCTTCAGCTGGGAAAAAGACCGTGTCCGCAGTGGATTTATGCGTTTCTTATGGCACAACTTTGTAGAAAACAATATCGATCCGGCATTCGCGACCGGCTAGTGAGAATTTCTCACGTGTGAATACTGGGAAGAGAGAAAAAATGACCGGATTCAGGTGTGGACGTTGTGAGGTCGGAATAATAGTGGAGAGCCGTTAGACGTAAAATAACGAATACCTGAGTACCCGAATATATACTAAGTGACATATAAATCCGAACACCCAGTTTAAATGGTTTTATTTTAATAAAAGTTGGTGAATGTATTTATCTTACTGTAAATAACAAGTGAAAAAATTGTCAGCCTTATCAGTTGGACATTCCGGTTTTCATACTGCTTTTTTTTAATTCACTAACGCTCTAAAAATGAATATTTCAGCCGCAGTAAAGAATCAACGTTGGCGGATTTTGGTTCTTGACATCCTTTACGATCGGTTACGATGCCTAGAGTACGGAGACCTGTACAATTTCGTCAACTTAGTGAGTTTGATAGGGGCTGTATAGTGGGACTTCGGGAAGCTGGACTTTCTTTTCGGGCAATTGCAGTTAGAGTGCAAAGAAGTGTAGACACTGTGGTTAGGTGTTGTCAGGCATGGCTTCGAGAAGGCCGTACGCAAAGAGCAAGGGGCACTGGACGCCGCCGTAGAACAACAGACCGTGAAGATCGCCGCCTAAGATTATTGGCCTTAAGGGACCGTTTCTCCACTACCAGGTCCATTGCAAATGAATGGTTTGCAGAACACGGAAGACCTATTGGCAGGCGAAGTGTTTACCGACGAATGAGAAGTTTTGGCTTGTTTTCATACCGGCCACACTGGGTCCTCCCTTTAACTCGAGAACACCGACGTAATTGCCTTGAGTGGTGCAGACAACGGTCACTCTGGGATCAGGAATGGAACAGTATTGTCTTTAGTGACGAGTCTCGATTTTGTTTAGGCATGCACGATGATCGTGCCAGGGTTAGAAGGCGACGTGGTGAAAGGAGCAATCCACAGTTTTTTGTTGAAAGACATGTTCATCACACTGTTGGAGTTATGGTTTGGGGTGCTATAGCTTATGCTTCCAGGTCACCTTTAATCTTCATCAGAGGTAACATGAACGCGCAGCGTTATATCCACGAAATTCTAGAACCCCATCTTTTACCCTATCTTGACACCCTGGCAGATCCAACTTTCCAACAAGATAATGCCCGACCACATGTTGCAAGAGTCACAATAGACTTCTTTCAACATAATGATGTCACATTGTTACCATGGCCACCAAGATCTCCCGACTTATCCCCAATTGAGCACGTGTGGGATATGATGGGTAGGAGATTGCTCAATTTGCAACGTCCTCCTCAGACTCTAGAAGCACTTCGAGAGGAGTTGGTGGTTACCTGAAATGAGATACCACAGGAGGACATTGACCACCTGATCAGAAGCATGCCTAGGCGCGTTGGAGAATGCGTAGCACATCAGGGTGCATCCACACATTATTAAAGGTCAAAGGGCTTTAAAGCAGTGCAATCATTTTGAAATTTTTATCATTTACTTATTATGCTTCATTAAGTACTTATACAAAATTTTATTAAAATAAAACCATTTAAACTGTGTGTTCGGATTTATATGTCACTTAGTATAACTAAGTTTATCAAAATTAAGAACTCCATTCAGCTGTGCCAAAATCTAATACACCCTTAGGAAAAATAAATTTGATGCTGGAGAAGAAGAGACGAAAAGATATATTAAAATTCTAAGTTTGCCATCTTGTAGAGGAGAAAAAGAGGCAACGTGAGCAATCTATTTTGAGATCCCACTACAAATAAGGAGAGAGAAGGGTGGTTTCTCATCGAAATCGGCTACAAAACAGCTACAAAGCTGGAGGAGTGCAGATGGTCGTTAAAATTGCATAAAAATGGAGAAAGTAGCAACCAAGCAACAACCAAAGCAACTAAACGTAAGGTAAGTACAAAAAAGGGTGCTACTCTATAAACTGGTGATTGGGGCCCAATTTTCCAAAATCTCAAAATCAAACGAAGGACCCACACACATTAGCCTACGCTTCAACAAGAAATGACGGACTGTCAGTTGACTGTCAATCAACGTCAAAAGTAGGAGGGCGCTGGTTACTATCTATCATTTTTTCCGTCACCCTCCAGAAGTTCTTTAAATTTCGAAACGTTCTAAGCGACATTTTATTATTCCCAAAATACACAACTTTGCCCCCATTTGACTACTTCGTATCTCTTCGAGATCCCAACGGTGTCGGTCAAATTTGAAACACCCGTAATAGTTTTTCAAACATATACTAAGTGACATATAAATCCGAACACCCAGTTTAAATGGCTTTATTTTAATAAAATTTTGTATAAGTACTTAATGATGCATAATAAGTAAATGATAAAAATTTCAAAATGATTGCACTGCTTTAAAGCCCTTTGAACTTTAACAATGTGTGGATGTACCCTGATGTGCTACGCATTCTCCAACGCGCCTAGGCATGCTTCTGATCAGGTGGTCAATGTCCTCCTGTGGTATCTCATTCCAGGCAACCACCAACTCCTCTCGAAGTGCTTCTGGAGTCTGAGGAGGACGTTGCAAATTGAGCAATCTCCTACCCATCATATCCCACACGTGCTCAGTTGGGGATAAGTCGGGAGATCTTGGTGGCCATGGTAATAATGTGACATCATTATGTTGAAAGAAGTCTATTGTGACTCTTGCAACATGTGGTCGGGCATTATCTTGTTGGAAAGTTGGATCTGCCAGGGTGTCAAGATAGGGTAAAAGATGGGGTTCTAGAACTTCGTGGATATAACGCTGCGCGTTCGTGTTACCTCTGATGAAGATTAAAGGTGACCTGGAACCATAAGCTATAGCACCCCAAACCATAACTCCAACAGTGTGATGGACATGTCTTTCAACAAAAAACTGTGGATTCCTCCTTTCACCACGTCGCCTTCTAACCCTGGCACGACCATCGTGCATGCCTAAACAAAATTTTCTTTACTGCGGCTGAAATATTCATTTTTAGAGCGTTAGTGAATTTAAAAAAAGCAGTATAAAAACCGGAATGTCCAACTGATAAGGCTGAAAATTTTTTCACTTGTTATTTACAGTAAGATAAATACATTCACCAACTTTTATTAAAATAAAACCATTTAAACTGGGTGTTCGGATTTATATGTCACTTAGTATATTTCAAAAAAAAATCTTGTCTGTTCAGTTTCCCAAAACGCGCACTCCACTATCAGATCGTTTGCATTGACGGTCTGCCTTGTACTTCCTGCATCTTTTAGTTTGTTTATAGCGGCTAGGGAATACAATAACATTAACATTAATGTCTTACATCTGCGTGTACCTATATGCGAGGCCTCAGTTTATTCCGTTGGTTAGTATCGTAACTTATCAATTGATAGTTTATGTCTCCATCGGGAAGATACAGCTATATATTTGGTTGTTCATTCGCTTTACGGCTGATTATTCATACACAGGCTCGTTATTTCTCGCTAACCAGCGCAAACTATTTGAATTTTGATTTGGCGATTTTTATTTTAGCGGAGAGTTGAAAATATGCGCAATTATTTTTTGGAATCGTGAAAAATTTCGAAAATGAGATATTGTGATTTTTGGATGTTATGACTTCGAAGTTGAGTCATTTATTTTAACAGTGAGTAGATCTGATCAAAAGAAATGTTTTTTTCCTTTACCATTTTTCTGGTAAAATTGAAGTAACAAAGTTATAGCCCTTTGGAAGTTTGAGTACCGCCCTGTCTCAATAATAATATTATGTGCTCGTGTTTGGCAACAACGGATATAATCCGCCTTATCGGTTCATCGCATCGGAAACAAAAAAGCGAAAGAATTTGAAACGTTTATCACGATGTCAGTCAATGTTTCAGTGGGTAACGCGTGAGTGAATAGTGGTGTTTGTTGCGTGGCTCAAACGAAATAAAAAATGGCACATGTTTACGAAAATGCTGAACTTGTGAACTTGTGGACATGATTCTTATTTAATCGAGTGCAACCAACCCCTCGTGCCTTTGTTAATGTAGTACAAAGGGCTCGTGAATCAGGTGACTTAAGACCTCACAGGGGAGGGCATGCCGGTGCTCCAAGACCGCACGATCAAATACAGGTCCGCACTGAAATACTTGTCTGGAGGATACTTTATAAAACAAGGTAACATTTTTTTTTTATTTTTACACACATATTTTGGTTTATCTTCCTTCTACAATCATTATCTGAAAATTAATGACTCAACTTCATGACAGGTACTTACATAACGAAAAACTATGTCACTCATTGTGATAAAGTATGAAGCCTGAATACGCAAGCGCGGAGTTGTCTATCTTTTTCCTGAACTACTGGCAGGGAAATACTTCTGTTAATGCTAGTTATTTGCACCGATTTGTTTAAGGCGGCTCCGACGCAGTGAGTTTCAAGCCGTTTACAAGGGTTCAGCTGCTTCGAAACTGACACTCCATTTTTGAATATTTTTGAATGAAATTCATACAGTAGGTTCAGAAGATAATTACCCAGGGAGCTACAGGAGCACTTTTTGAAATTTGGTTTTTGCACAAGTTTTATGATGGATTGAGTGCGCACTTTTTCTGTTCAACTTCGCGATTTTTTTAAAAAGAACCTAGTGAAAAAAATGAAAAAGTGGCTCGATAGCACCCTGTGGGGTTTTGTTTTCAGCACACTGTGAAATTTCATTCAAAAATATAAAAAAATAAAGCGTCAATTTCGAAGCGCACAAACCTCTACAAATCATATTTTGGACGAATTTTATCTACTGTTTCGTGCTGCCAACCCAAGCGTTGCGGCGCAATGTACGGACTAAGAAAGGACGTATTCAGATAATTTGGTGGCCCTATTTCATATAATATCGCCTAGATAAGTCGTTTTGCAAATAGGTACTCATAATCGCGATCGCTGATA